GTGTGTACGAAACTCTGAAATATGACCATGGGGTTACCGCGCTGCAGTTTGATACCCGCAAAGTTGTTGCAGCAACAGGCGAGAATGGTGTGAAGGTGAGCAGCACGCTCTTCATCAAACGGCGGTATTGACTTTGACCTTTGTCAGATATACAACCGCACTACTATGCAGCACTCGACACTCTTGACGAATGGTCATACACGGCCGGTTGAGCGGCTGCGATATATGGATCGTTACCTGGCCTCGGGAGGTCGTGATTCCACCGTGAAGATCTGGACTCTGTGATCTTCCGCGAGTTTGATATGATGGCATCTAAGTAACCTACATCGGGTATCGAAGACATCTCCATCGACCGTTGGGACGTTTTCAAGAGTAACGGTGGTAGACTAGCATAAGTAATCGCAACTGCAGTTGTAGCATACATAACATACGCAATACCATTTACGCACTTGACATGTCGCACGGCGGACATCTGATTTGAGGTCCCACAAAAGCCATTTTCGTTGACGGGGTAACTGCGAATAAGTGAACTCAGTGAACGGGCGAAAATGGTACACATCACAGATCGACGAGCATATATAGCTGGGATATGGACAGATAGACAATAGAACAGACAAGCAGGATAAAGATCGGAGAACATCATTAGAAGGGACAGCCCATTCCGTGGGGGATCTTTTTGAGCGCGGCATGACTTCGAGGAAGGTTACAGCCGCCTGTAGCCACTACCTTCTAGACCCCGGGCATTGCGGGAATGGTAATCTCGAGTAGCGCGCCCACCATCCCTGGACTGACCAGAGTACTTGTCACCATGATAGCCGTTACCAGAGTGGCCTGAGTACCCGCCTGAATCGTAGGAGCGCGGCGGCGGACTGAGAGAGCGGCGCCTTGTAACGATGTGTCACTGGAGCACTGCCATGATCATCAAGCTAGCTTACCGATATCTTGTCCCATCTGGAGTGCTGCTACGAGGGTAGTAGTCAGCAGGGCGGGGAGGTGTGAGAGGACGTCCACGCCCGTCCGATCGACCATAGTCGCTTGAGCCAGTAGTGAATATGCAATGGTTGTAGTGGAAAATCGTCGACGTACCGAGGAGGCCGGTCATAATGGTCCCGACGAAGCGGAGGAGGACCAGGGGGCGTTCGAGGACGTCCACCGTGTGACGCGTGTGCGGGATAACGGTCATCAACCGAGGGTCGCCTGTCATGACGATCATAGGAGTCACGAGGAATGAGGGGTGGGTAACCTCTAGAAGAGCCAGAATAGTCCCTGTCGGTTGGCCGGTCGTAGCGAGAGGGGATGGATGGTGGTCCTCGCGTACGATAGTCGTCATAGTCGCGTGACGAACGTGCAGGTGGATCCATGGTATGGTCGCGATAATCTCTCGGGGGAGTCAGAGGCCGCCGATAGTCTCTTCCAGGAGGAGGAAGCGAAGGGTCGTCGTAATAACGGCCTCCTCCTGCTGGATACCTTCCTGGATCGTCTCGGTGATTAATCACGTCCCTCGGAGGTGGGAGGTAGTCCCGAGGTGGGTGCATGCGATCTATGAGAGGAGGATCGTACGGTTGTACACGCCTCCAAACGGAATAGATGGCTGATTAAGGAACTGTCTGAGTCAACGAAATCGTAGACTTACGATTGAGGATTGTGACGTGGACAATCTCTGTCATACTTCCTCAATGAAACCGTAAACATAGAGCACTAGAATACCTGCCTCGCCCAATGTCCATTTTCGCCACACTTGAAACACGCGCCAGGGTCGTCAAATCGTTTACCAGCGCGCCCACGATTGTGCGAAAGCTCGACACGTATTTTATTCCCCATAAAGTACCCTTCGTGATATTTTGCGACACTTTCCTCAGCGGCATCGCGGTTATCGAATTCCTGCCCACTTTTGTGAAATTTTGCAAACAAATCATGAGGAAGGCGGCCTACCACGAAGCCATACCCGACTCTAGAAGGACGACAAAGAGTCAATGAAACGCCCTGTTGATTTACTTTTACTCACTTGAGTTCAATGTTGATGATATTGCCCAGTTTTCCAAAGCAATTTCGGAGGTCCTCTTGACGAGTGTGTTCAGGAAGGCCACCGACGTAGACTTTGTTCGGCTGGGTAGCGCAAAGAATTCAATACCAGGCCAGGCAACATACTGAAGTGACAACAAGAACAAAGCCAGACACGAGGAGCCGCAATAACAAACGCCCAAAGTACAGTTCCAGGTAGGCGGTCAAGACAAAGAGTTGGGCCCGAATTCTCTCTGAAACCTCGAGGTAGTAGATCGAGATGTCCCAGACTCCGGGCGAAGACAGTTACAGAGGTGACAGTGAATGGCGCCAGAAGGTGGCATCGAGAGGGAAATAGGACCGCGCAGGACCAGAAACCAATTGACAAAACAAGAGGATAGACCTAAGCACCTTGACTTGTTTTTCGTGACCAGAGTTGGTTTTGTTGCCAGACGCATCTTCGCTGGCGTTGGAGGCGTGGGCTTTTGTGTTTTCCTGGAGCTCATCGAGAGGTCCTTCGTCTGGGAGCTCGAGACTAACCACAGGACCCATGTTATCTAGACTTTGGTCGTCAGCTGAGCCCCATTTGTCCTTCATTAGCGTGTCAGAGTCCAGTGCGCTCGGTGAAGTAGACATGGCGAGTGAACAAGCGTAGGCTTTAATCAAAACTCAAGCTCGAACGTGAAGAATCAATCTCCGCTTGTCCTTTGCCACAGCTGCAAAGTACTATACCGCAATTATTTACCGAATACTTCATGTATCTGAAATGCTATCTCCAAGTCCATGTACGAGTCCAGTTCCAAATGCTAAACGTCCACCAAGAGGCCCAGTCCTTACTACCTACACACTGGATGCTAGGGTCCACAAGCCACTCACGACACCAGCGACGACAAGGGTAACAACACCATACATTGTTCTGGCATCAGCGAGGACAGTAGATGCACCGTTGGGCTTGCTTCCTGATCCCGAGCTGCCTCCGTTTGAGCTAGGCACACCAGCTGGTAATGTAGGGACCGAAGTGCCAGTAGCACTTGCCATACAAGACGAGGCCGCTGAATTAGCTGCGTTTACGCTGTTTGGCGCATTGGTATTGACGGTACCGTTCCCACCAAAGCTGCACGATTGAGGGTTGTTGTTTGAAGCCAGGTAGTACTCACTCATCACATACGAGAGCATGACAGCTGCAGTAGATTCATTAGTATGATTCGATGGTAGCGAAAATGCCACCTACTAGGATCACACCCAGATACCAAACCATACTGTCCACTAGTACCGTTACTAGCAATCGCGTTGCAACTACCCCCGGATTGTCCAACCAAGCTACAACCATAGTTCAACAAATCACCCAAGATCGTGCTATAGTTGGAAGTCTGAGGAGTGAACCGGCAGCTCAGGCTGTTTTCCAGACACGTGCATGCAGCGAGATTGGGAGTCGGTGGAAGTGTGGTAGAGGCAAGCATAGTAGAGTTCTGCTGAGGGCACGCCGGGTAGCTTGTGGATCCAGCCTCGCTCTGCGAGGGTGAATTAGGAGGAGACGCTTGACCATATTGTGACTTGAGGTTGTTGAAATCTTGGCTGACAGTGACGGAGCCGCCATCAGAGGAAATCGTAACCATGCCAAACTGACCCTGGGCACTCGTGGCGGGGAAGTACGAGAACGCAATACCACCTGACCAGACAGGTGACATTTGTGAGCTCAAGAGAGCGCCAACCTCGGTCCATGGACGTGGTGTGCCCGCCGTGATGCAGCCAAACTCGCTGAAGTAGGCAGGTATGTTATAGCTCGAAAAAAGAGCCTCCGTTCCTGCGTAGGACGCTTGGAAGGACGAGTCACCACACCACTCACTAAATGTCCTTGAATATGTTAGGCTGGGAAGGAAAAGAGTATAACGCACTAGTCGTTTAACCCGTAGAGATCAATGGCAGTGGCACCAGAGTCAGAACCCGTTGTATCGCACGACAGATAGCTTGCGAGGGGGTAAATCCAGGATGGGTCACCGTCGATCGAAGCGTAGCCTACGAGAGCGGACGATTTAATCGAGTTGCTGTCGAAAATTGCATGAAATGTCACGGTATATCGACAAATTGCTTACATATACGCCTTCGTATCGCGGGCGGCAGCCTTAACAAAGGTGGCAGCGGCGGTTCCATTCGGTGCGATGACGACCTCGTTCCCTACGTTGTAGGCGAGGACATTGTCGTACTTGGAAAACGCATTGATAGTCTGGATGTACAGATCAAGAAGGTTCGTGCTCCAGGAGGGAGAATTACGGTCAATAGACCCGTTGACGGGAAGGGAGAGATCAATACTGCAGAACTGGTCAGGCTGTACAGGTGTTGATTGAGAATGGCACTCACATGGTGTAAATACCGGCATTACTGAACAGTTGCATGCACGTGTCATGGTTCTGAGTAGAGTCCACGCTGTAAGCACGGATAGTATTGACGCCAAGTTGTTGTAAATATGGTAGGTCACGTTGGCAAGCCGTACCATTCGCCAAAGGATCAATGAAAGTTGACGGTTCAAGGAAAGGATTATTCGGGTCAGCAATGACCTGACCTGTTGATTTGAAAGCCCAAATTATAGAGTGAGCGTATACGAATTCTGGATGCTTACCCTGCTCCTGATATGCAACACCTTTGATGTAAAACCTGTTTCCATCGGCGGTGTACAAGTACCTTCCTGACCTAGTAACTTTCTGGATAGCTTGGGCTCCAGACAACAGAATGCCCGCCAAAGTAAAGCTAGTCAAAATGCGTGCAATTCGACGCATGACTCTGTGCTAAAGAGTGTCGAGCAGTGAGGGGACGGGAAAGGGACCAACTGGAGTTTGAGAATAAAAGAATGTGGGGAGTTCCGTTTGCAATTGGACTTGGCAAAGACCGCCTTGGCCACCACCTCGATTATGTAATACTCATAACTTAATTGATGATTTGCGCGAACGAGCGCCGATCTCATCAGGATGATCATCCTCGTGTTTCAAAATCATCGCTTTGACGCCCGCCTAGCTCAATCGGATAGAGCGTCAGACTCTTAAATCTAGATGGCGGAATGTCAGATAAGAATATCTGAAGGCTGCGAGTTCGACCCTCGCGGTGGGCTAGTATTTTTTGACCCTAGCTTGAAGGGGCCATCTTATACTTGTTCGCTCGTCGGAGACAATCAAACTGCAGTTGCCCTTTTTTTTCTGACCTGTTCGGCATCGAGGATATGAGCAACACTAATCTACCGTGCTCTGTAGCTGTTAGCTAGCCTTTTCTCTTCTTTTTTTTTTCGGCGCATTGACACAAAATATGGAGCACATGTCGGCAAATCCCGACAATACTCTTTCTATAAGGGAAACTTTATTTCAGCCACTGTACAGTTTTCCAAATGTAGTAATCCATCTTTGTGACGGTGCAACTGCTCAACGAAAGCTTCAACGCCGGCAAGGTATCATACAATCTCCACAGTCCAACCAAGATTTGCTAAGTACTCCTTTACTACTTCTTCAGCCTCAAGAAACCACAAAATGACCCACGACGCTGTCTGGTTCTCTCGTCCTAGAAAGTTCGGCAAGGGTAGTCGCCAGTGGTAAGCACCGACCATCACTGCGCTCCCGTTAACGGTCGTGACGTTCCTCGTGCAGCCGCCTCTGCGCGCACCAGGCAGGTCTCATCCGCAAGTACGGTCTTGACCTTTGCCGTCAATGCTTCCGTGAAAAGTCCGCTGCCATTGGGTTCGTTAAGGTATGCTCCAGCCAGTCTTACATTTGCCGTCTCTCACTGAAGCTTGTCAGAACCGGTGAAATCGTCTATATCTCTGCTTTCCCTAGCTTGCATCACATTTCATTCCTGCGCATGAAGTACCGAGAGTTGTATGGCGTCGCAAATAACAATTTGTCTCAGGACTTGAAAGGCGCATGAAACTTCGTCACTGCTGATGAGTATCTGGAATACTCAAACATTTCACGACACCTGAAACCCGAAAAAGCAACGACGGCATAGATTGCACAATAAGTACAGAAGTAGTGCGGCGATTGGTCAGCCATTAAACAGACATTGCTTTAGATGAAGGGAAGATTAAGGCTATACAAATGCGGCGGATAAAAATGTTCAGAAAGCGAGTAATAGCAATGGAGGATTGAGTATGCCGAACCAAAGTACAAGTGCAGTGGTATGGTCGAAGCCGGACCGATGCCCATCGTTGTGAAATCTCCAGGAAAACGAGATCGAGCCAGGCTCCATGTGAAGGTATCGGTAGCCGAACGCAAGGACATAGAATATACATAGAAATAGGGCATTAAAAGAACGGCAAGCAAGTTGGAAATGAGAGCAGCGGGGAGCAGCGCGAGGTGACATGGACTTCACATGCCATATGCGTAGCTCTGGTAGGGATCATTTAAGGACCCAGCAAGACCGACGTTGCCAAAAGGGCTCACGTTAGCGTAAGCAGACACGCCAGAGTAGCCACCAGCGTGTGTGTGCGGGGTTGTCAAACTGGCATTGTGAGGAGAGTTGCTCTGCAAAACATATCCATCGATGGAACGCGCCTGAAGACCGTGCAATTGGGGACCAATGTGAGTGTGGCCATAAGATCCCTGCCCCTGCAGTCCGTAAAGACCAGCCTGAGAACTGTAAAGGTCTGCCATGGAATTGCTTGGGTGCACGTTTTGAGGGAGGTGCCGTGCGGGAGCAGAAGGGTGACCATGACCAGGGACAAGACCAATGGCTTGGCTACCCAAGTTCATGTTTACCATAGCCTGCGGACCATGGTATCCACCCCCGAAACCATCGACTTGCTCACGCTGCAGCTTGTTCTGAATTCGTTTGCCATAAGGGGTGTTACGAATCAACGGTAGCACCGGGCGAATACCCTCAACGAGAAGCGCACGTTGGCCGGGTTCGGCATAGTCCAGGGCAGTCTGTGAGTATCATTTAACAACAGCAACTGAAGTTTAGATCGGTGGCGCACCTGCACGCAATAGTTACCGTAGGAATCGCGCAGCAGCTTCTCTAGGCGCGAACGGTTCAGCAATTCTTCGATGAGCATTTTTCTAGTATTGTGTTCCGCTACCCGAATGCACTGAAGAACTATTAGTGTGAACAGGTGGACGCAGCCTGATATTGTACCTTCTCGATGACATTGGAGCTAAATTTCTGGACTGAGAGCGCGCACACGTTGCCCGTGAATTGATGGATGACAGCATCACTAAAGCGGTTGTCATTTAGATCAAGAATATATTGTACGACCTGTTAGCGCTGAAGGTTAGCAAACTACCGAAGAGTTTTTATGTACGCACGTAGTTTCCGTAGGGATCTTGAACCAAAGTGAGGGCGTTGTACGTGATTTCATTGACAAGCTGGATTCGTTGGTGGTCAGAAGCATGGTCAATGCAACGTTGCAATACACAACATCCATGGCGGTGAGTAGCGACCTCAACGCAATTGGCAGCGACAGCGTTGTAAATGAACTGCAGGGGTATATCAGCGACAGGCCTCCCCACCAATTGTTTAGCGTACCTGATTGTCTTCAGGCGCAAGCTTGTTGAGACACTTTTGAATGACATGGTTGCCGTTGAGGTCCTTGATAAGCACTACAACATGAAGGCTGAGTGCGACGATAATAGAATGGATCTGAACATTGTATCTATGATCAGTCTGGATTCATTCCTCCCCGTAAGTGTGGAAGATGAGAGAGTGCGGAAATTTGACTTGCCTGTCGTCGCGTTGACAGGAAGTCAATCATTTTTTGTACAGCACGTGTACCGTGCATGTTGAGTGATATATTGACGAGATCCTGAGCAACAGACTCGCAGATCACGTTCCTCTGTTCGTCGGTGGAGTATTCCAACAATTTTTGGCAAAGATAGTTGCCGAACGGATCTTGTCGCATTCGTAAAAAATTGATCAAGATGAAGAACGAGTTCTGGCAAACCTGTCATCAACTCCGCAAAGTATCCGAATGTTTCGCGGAATATCATGTCGCGATGTTCAGGAACGCCTTCTTCGAGTTTCTTCTGAAGGTATCTACAGCCGTGTTGATCTTTACAGAGCGAAGGAATATCACCCTGCAAGTCCTCGAGACGCGTACCGGCAAAACGGTTAACTATAACTCAAAATGGTCAACTCATAAACACAATGTCTACTTTTCGGCCACTTACGATCCAGGTCCCCACGCTTGTGTTTTGGGCCATGAAGTCCGTTCATCTTGTTGTCGGAACCATTGCCTCGACCCAAGCCAAGACCGTAGCGGGAACCATTGTGGTGATAAAGAGCAGTCGACCCACTGGTTCCGTTGACGCCGTTTGCAGCACGTCCATTGCCATCGAACCCGTAAGTGTTGTAACGACCGTTGTCTAATTGGCCATTGATGCCGTACACCGAGTCGACATCGTACTGCTACTAGAGGTGAGGGCATACGACGCAAGGGGTATTAGGGCGACTCACATCGAATGACAACCCTGCGTTATCGTATTGCCCAGAGGGCAGGCGTGACAAGGATGGTTGAATGTCAACCTTGTTGCCCTCATCCAGATGCTGGCTACCCTGAGCGGACAAACGACCACCTAGACTTTGAGAATCAGGCGTGAGAGGGGTTCCAGGAGCTTGTAGCATATGGGAAGCCCCGCCATTAGCGACTGACAGTGGCGTAGCAGGAACAGAACGTGCCACGGCGGCTAGAGTATCAAGCGCGCCGGATGGTGAACCGCGACGTGATAACGGAGCCTGACCAGCGCCGAGACTCATCTTAGGGTGTTGAGTAGCATGAGGAGTAGACGTTCCAGACACCGCACTGGTGAGTTTCGAGCCGAGATCTATCGGTGAAGACGTCAATGTCAACGTCGGATTGGTCACGGTACGCCGCTCATTACGAGAGCTGAGGCCCTCTGGCGCGCGAGGATTGCCAACAAACTGAGGCCACTCTGAGGGCTTCTCGCTGCGAGAGGCAAAGGACGTCCTGGGGGAGGACTGCGAACGATGCGCGAGATCCAGCGCAGCAGACGACGTAGTCACCTAGCACTTGAGTCAACATAAAAACCCGACTTGAGATGGGAGACGTCTCACCTTATTTGTGTACGATGCAAACTTGTCATCGTCTGATGTGGGCAAATTCCTCATCGCGTCTTCAACAGATGAGGAGCGCCCCATGACATTTACGAACCGATACTCACTATGCATTTCTTGATCCAACTGTTCATCCAGCATCATACCAACATTGTACGGCTGACTGGAGCGCCTGTGGTTGTCCTCACTTAAGCGGCCTCTAGACAAGATGGATTTTGCGACTGCTGCAGGACTGGGAGTGCCTCTACCAGGTCGCTCTCCAGAGAGGGCCATGCCCCTGAACTGCTCCACAAACTCCTCGTCCTGACTGCTAGCTGAAGTGCGACGACTGGCGGGCATGCTTTTAGCACCAGCACGATTGTATTGACCGTTCATCGTGTGACCAGAACCAAGTTCTGGGGAGCGATCGACCGACGGAGCATAGGTGACGGACTTCCTCTTGTCGGAAGCAGAACCAACTGCCCTAGACAGGATATCGACATCGACGGCCGAATGCGACAGCGCAGACTTCATCAGCTGGTCGCCATGCAACACTGCATTAACGCGTGGTGGAGTCGTCGGTGCGGAAACAGCCAAATGAGCCGAGTTCATGGGGTCATACGGGATGCTGAGAAGCTCCTGCGCTTGCTGGTGTTCCAAAGCGCGCATTTGATCCTCAAATAACTTTCGCTGGAGTGCACGCTGGCGCTCGTGTTCCAGGCGCTTCAGCTCAACGCGCTTGATTGTCAGAAGGTTAAATGACGGCCCGAATGTGATTCATGAGACTTACTGCCGAGATGTCAGGCATGTTAGTACCCAGCCTCGCAGCCTACGGTGCACCAGGATCTAATTAAACACTAAGCGCTATGAGCAGAAACAGCACATACCGAGTCTGCGAGGTCGAGGAAAGCAGGTGGACTCTGTTTTCTCCCATCTGAGTTGCGATTATCGGCGGAACTATTAACGTTTTGAGCAGTATTCATCTTGAGTAGCAAAAACGGTCGACAAGTTTTCTTCCAGAGATGAAAGACAGAGAACTGAACGAAAGAAGATTAGAGAATGCTAAGCCTAATTGCA